ACAATGACAAATAAATAAAATTTAAGAACAGAAAAAAAATTATACTTTTTTTTTTTTGGTCAGATAGAGAAAAAAATATGTGTGCCACAGAAGTTTAGTAATTAGTGTATATGTGCCGGGAGATGAAAAATCCATGGAGTCCCTCACGTCCTCGGAGGGTGAGGAGCCGGGCCCCGAGGTGGCGATCAAGATGCCCATGGTGGACCCCGAGGCGCCGGCCCCCGCCAAGCAGCCCCCCCGGATCTCCCCGAACACGGTCAAGAGGCCGACGCGCAAGGGCCGGGAGCGCCCGGGCAAGAGCCAGAAGCCGCGCGGGAAGGACCAGCTGGCCAAGCGGAAGACCTTCTCGCTGGTCAAGGAGAAGAAGGCGGCGCGGACCCTGAGCGCCATTCTGCTGGCCTTCATCCTCACCTGGACGCCCTACAACATCATGGTGCTGGTGTCCACCTTCTGCAAGGACTGCGTCCCGGGGACGCTGTGGGAGCTGGGCTACTGGCTCTGCTACGTCAACAGCACCGTCAACCCCATGTGCTACGCGCTCTGCAACAAGGCCTTCCGGGACACCTTCCGCCTGCTGCTGCTCTGCCGCTGGGACAAGCGGCGCTGGCGCAAGATCCCCAAGCGCCCCGGCTCCGTGCACCGCACCCCCTCCCACCAGTGCTGATGGCCCCGCCCTCGCCCTCCGCCCCGTCCCTGGGGCACCCGGCCGGTCGAGCTGGCAGCAGGGGCCGTGACCTCAGGCCCCGGGCCCGGCTCTGTCCTCACAGGCTTCCCAGGCCCCCAGGTCACCTTCCTGGACAGCCAGAGGGACCCTGCCAACTCCACTCTGCCATTCCCGGGCAGGGAGCGACCCGGGGAACTGGTTTTTCTGTCCCCTGCCGGGTGGGAACGGGCTCCTCACCAGGAAGAAGGCGGGAGGAGGATCCGGCCCTTGGATTGCTTGTTTGCATTTAGGCAGGAAGTCTACCTGGAGCCAGCAGGGCGAGCCAGCAGAGAGGTTTACCTCGCAGTCAGCCCCGGCCCCCTGGCTGGCCTGGATGGCGGTGGGGAATGGCGCCCTCTGTGGCCACCGCCGGGAACGGGCACCGAACACTGAGAGAAAAGCTGGGCTCCGAGGGACCAGCCCCTGGCCCCTCCGCAGGCACAGCCCACTCTGCTGGGCGCTGGGCTCACTTTCCAGAACGCCCAGCCTCCCTCCCAGGGTCCGCAGAGCGTCCCTGTGGGGCCCCCCTCCAGGCAGATGTCCAAGCCTCAGCAGGACAGTGGCACCAGAGGGGACCAGCTTGGCTAGTCGCACGCAAGTCCCGCGGCAGCAGCCGGGCCCACGCCGTGTGTCCTGGTGTCCCACTGGGGAGCGAGGGCAGGGTGCCTGCTGTCCAGCCTCACGCCTATACCCCCGCCCCAGAGGAACCCTCAGTCCCTCCTGGCTCCCAGCCACCACCTGGGTAGGTCTGCTCCGTGCAGATCTAGCCAGGCCTCCTGCATGCTGCCTGCCTGCAGCCCGCCCCACACAGGCCCGGCCCAGCCAACAGGGCGTCTCCTGTGAGCCCCCCAGTCCCGCCCATGCATGGCCTCCCAGCCACCCTCATCTCCAGGCCCAGCCTGGCCCCAAATATTCTTTCCTTCCATCTCAGCAAGTGCTGAGTCTGAATAAAGCCTCCTAACCCACGGATGCTGAGGTCCTTCCTCCGTGTGGGACCCAGGACCTGATCTTGGTCCAGGGCAGGATGGGGGGGTGGGGTAGAGTAAGTACCACGGGATGTGTACCGCTGCCCTGACAGTGCCCCCCAAAGGACAGCACTGAGAGGGTGGACCTGCGGACACCTGTGGGCCCCGCATAGGTGAGGAGGGCTGTCCGGGCAGACCTGGCTCCTGGCAGTGGGAAGGCTGAGGAGGCTGGCCCTGCCCGCAGGCCCGCGCAGTCTGTCAGCTTTGCCATCTGCAGCTCCTCGGGGGCCCTGTCATACCGGGCGAGGACACACTGCCCCCAACCCCCATCGCAGACGGGGAGCCGCAGGCCAGTGACCCAGGAGGGCCGGTCAGGGTCACCCCACAAAGCAACACCAGGCCTCCAGGCGGCAGCACTGCCAGGAGACGGCCCCGAAGGCCGGTGACACCTGAGGACGCAGAACTCGCGAAGCTGTTACACTCCCGGTTATAGTTTCTTAGGTGAAAGGACACAAATTAAAGCCACGGCGCAGAGTCCAGTGAGGCCGGGGCAGCTTCCGGGGCGTCCTGGGCAGCACCGGCCTCCCCAGCAACGGTGAGGGGACACGCAGGGGGCAGGAGCTCCCCAGCAGGCCTTTCCCTGCAGGCTGCCTCGGCCTCCACCCCTCCAGAGGCTAAGCCGCACTGCGTGGCCCGGGAGCCCCTGTGACCCCACGGCCCGCAGGCGGGCTCAGCAGGCAGGACGCTCAGGGCGTAGGCACGCGCTCCGGCCTGGCAGGGCCACGCTGTTTGGAACGTGCGGGTGGGGTAGCCCAGACCTGCAGGCGGGTCCTCGGTGCACAGTGGGACGGTCTAAGCTGGCACGTGGATCGGGAATGGGGCCAGCACTGGCCCTTGTCCCAGGCACAGGTCCTGCCTGCCTGCGCCCCCTCCCCACCGCCTGAGGCAAGTGTCATCTTCAGTGTCCTCGCCCCTGAGAGGAGCTGGAAGACGAGGGGGCCTGGGGAGAGCACCCACGGGGTCCATGTCAGTCACCGCAGGACCAGGCTCTCCCAGCTGAAGGCCAGGAACGAGTCTCGTGTCAGACACACACCTTTCCACGCGCCTCCAGCCGAGGCTCCAAGGGGTCCAGAGTCCCACCCCCAACCCTGACCTCACCCTCACCCCGGCCCAGGGAGGGGACAACCGGGAAAGGAGTATGGGGAGCGAGCCTGGTGCAGGGGGAGGGGCGGGGGGGAGGGAGGGAGGGCGCAGGCTGCTTCCCAGAGACGTGCCCCGCAAGCCTCTGAGGCCAGAGCCCTCCCGGTCCAGCCGCCTGTCCAGCCGCCCCCGGAGCTGCAGGAGGCAGCTGAGCCGACGTGCACCAGTTCACCCCAACGCTGCACCCCTCCCACCCCGAGGAGCCCTTCGTGGCCCCAGAGATAAGGGCCCTTTCGTGCCCGAGCAGGAAGTTGGGAAAGAATAAGGCGGCTCTGACACCACCCGGTCCCTGCCAGGTTGAAGCGAGCCTGGAGCAGGGCACCAGCGAGGGTTCTCTGTCCTCTCCTCTGCCCCCCATCGCTGCCGCCCCCCTCCTCCCCATCCCTCCCCCAGTTCACAGCACATCACTTTAGCTCCATCTGCAGGCAATCGGGGGAACAGTCCCCCAGGCTGGGCTGCCTCCCAGACAACGGGACTGCGGGACCGAAGACAGAGCAGATGGCCCTGGGCGCCTGGGCTCCTGCCCCCACACCTGGGCTCCTGCCCCCACACCTGGACTCCTGCCCCCACGCTGGGCTCCTGCCCCCACACCTGGACTCCTGCCCCCACGCTGGGCTCCTGCCCCCACACCTGGACTCCTGCCCCCACGCTGGGCTCCTGCCCCCACACCTGGACTCCTGCCCCCACGCTGGGCTCCTGCCCCCACACCTGGGCAGGGACCAAGGCCCCGAAGGCCCAGCTCGCCTGGCCGCTATTCTAAACCTGCACCGGCCGTCCTCCCTCTCCCCGGCGGGCCAACCTCTCCGCGTCCTTCAGGCATCTGCCTCCCCAGGCGTTTGGGACCCTTTTGTTTCATTCCTTGGAGCCTGGCTCTGACCTGACGGAACTGATGCTGAGCCAACCAGGCATTCAGACAGGTACCCGCCGCCTTCACGGCACCAGAGTCTTTGCACGCCAGGTGCCCACACCAGCCTCAGGCCCTACCGGGTGTGAGGTGTGCTTCACGGGTGAGGTAACGCACACAAACGCATGACTCCAGGGAGCACTTCTCCCTCCTCCCTCCCGGCCCCTGGCCTTCCCGCCCCCGCTCCCACTCTCGCTCTTGGCATTCCGGGCGCCCCATTCACTCAGCTCCCACCCAGAAATCTGGGTGTCATCTCAGACTCCATCTCCTTTCGCCCCCTGTGCCCGGTCAGCCTGTGTACCTGCGGAATTGTTCCCAGATTCACCCCGGGCCCTCCCTCCTGCGCCCCTGTCCCCAGGCGGGCCTCTTGCCTGAAATGCTAAAATAATCCCATAATTCAGATGTTAGCAAACTGTGTCTGTGACGGGCAAATAGCCAATGGGTGAGGCTATTGTGTAGGTACGTCTGCATCACAGTCTCCGCCCCCGTCGCCAAAAGCAGCCGTACACAATACGTGAGCGGATGAACTGGGCCGTGTTCCAATAAAGCTTTATTTGAAGTTCGCTGAGGTTTGAACTTATATCATCTTCATGTGTCACAATATATGACTCTTTCGATCTGCTTTTCAGACACTTAAAAATGCAAAGCCCGTTCTTATCTCCCAGTGGGTACAGAACCAGGCCCGGCGGCCGCGGGGTGCCAGCCCCTGCCTTCACGCCCACCCATTCTCCTTGCCTCCGCCAGCGCAATTTTGCCAAAACATAGGTCCGATGCCACAGTCCCTTGCGTGATTACCACTCGTCAATCGCTCGAGGTAAACACGCGAGCTCCGTAGCCTGCGGGGCCCTCCATCCAGCCCCCTTCCCTCTTCAGCCGCGTCTCTGACCTCTGGCCCCCAAGCCCTGGCCCCAGCCTCGGAGAGTCTCCCGTCCTACGTGGGCCCCACGCTCACTCCGGGTGCTTTCAACTCCTCCCACCTCCTCTGCTTGGCACATTCTCGCCCCACTGAGAGGAGACACTCCTGTCTCCTTACCCGCCCCACTCACAGAACTTCCCACACCAGATGCCTGCGCTCATTACAAGAGAAGACCCTCTTGCCATCACCCAGGAGCCCCCGGGGTTCAGGGGCGCTGCCCGCGGAGGGAAGACCAAACCCTGGAACAAAAGACGCTCCTGGCACCCCTGCCACTCGGGAGATTAAAGGCAGGCGTTTGGGAGCCAGAATTGGCGAATTCCAACAAATTCCTTCCTCGCCCCAAGCCTCGGTTTCCTCATCTGTGAAAGGAAGGCTGAGCCTGTTGTAGACAGAGCACTCCGAAGGCACGGTCCTTCCCTACCTGCCGTGGTCTTCACCTTCCCTCTCGGCTCCTCGGCTCTGCCCAGCCGAGTCCAGGCGTGCGCGGCCGGACCGGGGCCTCCCCATCAGCACAGCACTGGGAGGTTGGACCTAGTGGACAGTAATTGGTCATCATATTGCTGCTGCCTGGACAACTGGGAACGACCGGCTCCTACGAGCATCCTACCCGCCCTGACGCGAGAACAAACTCTCTCTTTGAATCTTGGAAATCCCTCAAGGTGGACGTTGCTGTTCCTCTCTGTGATATAAGAAATATGTATTTGTGCCTGGCCAGTATGGCTCAGTGGTTGAGTGTCGACCTATGAAACAGGAGGTCACAGTTCAATTCCCGGTCAGGGCACGTGCCCAGGTTGTGGGCTCGATCCCCAGTATGGGATGTGGATTCTCATCATTGATGTTTCTCTCTCTCTCTCCCGCTCCCTTACCCCCTGAAATCAATAAAAGTATATGTTTTTTAAAAAAGAAATATGCATTTGCTTTTTTTGTCTCAGTTTCTGACACAGAACTTCTAAAATCCTTGGAATTTCCTGAGTAATGGAGGTGAGACAAGCATCTTTTCTTATTCACAATAAACCCCTTTAAATATATATATATATAGAGAGAGAGAGAGAGAGAGAGAGAGTTCAGAGAGAAAGGGAGAGGGAGAGAGAGAAACATCAGTGATGAGAGAGAATCATCGATGGGCTGCCTCCTGCGCCCCTCCCTGGGGATCGAGCCCGCAGCCCGGGCCTGTGCCCTGACCGGAGTGGGCGCTCCTGAGTGAGTAGCGAGTGAAGCACCACCTCACTGGGCCCTGTGAGCCGCCCGTGAGAACCCGGAGCCTGAGGAGGGCCCGTGGGAGCCCCTGCGTTACAGCCAGTCGGTCACAAGAACCGGTGACACCTGAGGCATCTCAGCTGGGGCCGGCCTGGGGATGAGCCGGGAACCGAGGCCCCACGCTGGCTGCCCCAGTCAGAGCTGAACTGGGTGGCAGGCCACCGTCACCTCCCGAGAACCAGAGGAGCGAGCAGCTCGTGAGGGGAAAAGACAACACCTTTGGTGTCGCAAGTGTTAGGAGGAACAACAGTTCCCACCTCCTCACAGGTGAGGCAACTGAGGTTGAGGTTGAGTCGGGGGCGGAGCAAGAAGTCCGCCCCCAGTGATCACCAAGCCCACGCTCTCCTCCTGCTCACCTGGCGGCCACCGGCTGGGCACTCACTCAGCTGAGCAGTGCCCTGTCCTGCTCCCTCCAGCCCTGGGGACACCCTCCATCCCGCATCGCACAGCCTCAAGGCTCTCCCCTGCCACCCCCCACAGCTTCAAGGTCAGTGTCCGCACCGCCCATCTCCCCCAGGCCTTGTCCCTTTGCTCCCCTCCCGCAGCCCCTCCCCGCCATGGCTCTTCCTTCGCCCACACCAGCATGTCCACAGGCCCCTGGCCCCTGGCTTCCACTGAATCTCACCTCCCTGGTCAACCATGCCTCCCCCTTCCCCGACCCCACACAGGGGAGCCCTGCTGTGAGGATTGGCCCCAGAACGGGCACAGGGCCCCGGACCTCAGCCAA